CTCGCCCAGCCTGCGGACCCCCATGTTCGTGCTCATCGGGAGCCTGGCCACGGCGGACCTGCTGGCGGGGCTCGGCCTCATCCTCAACTTTGTTTTCCAGTACGTGATCCGGTCCGAGACGGTCAGCCTCATCACCGTGGGATTCCTCGTTGCCTCCTTCACGGCGTCCGTGAGTAGCTTGCTGGCCATCACGGTCGATCGCTACCTTTCCCTCTACAATGCCCTCACCTACTACTCAGAGAGGACTGTGCTGTGCATCCACACCATGCTGGTGGGCACCTGGGGGGTCTCCCTGTGCCTGGGGCTGCTGCCGGTCCTGGGATGGAACTGCCTCCACGACTACGCCGCTTGCAGCATTGTCAGACCCTTGACCAAAAGCAACGTGACTTTGCTGTCTGCATCTTTCTTTCTGATTTTTATCATCATGCTCCATCTCTACATTGAAATCTGTAAAATAGTTTGCAGACATGCCCATCAGATAGCTCTCCAGCAACATTTTCTGACTGCATCGCACTATGTTGCTACCAAAAAAGGAGTGTCTACCCTCGCTATAATCCTTGGGACTTTTGGAGCAAGCTGGCTACCTTTTGCGATCTATTGTGTAGTCGGAGATCCCGACTACCCTTCTGTGTACACTTATGCCACACTTCTACCTGCTACTTACAACTCCATGATCAATCCCATCATTTATGCCTACAGAAATCAAGAAATTCAGAGGTCCATGTGGGTTCTCTTTTGTGGCTGCTTTCAGTCTAAAGTGTCCTTTCGTTCCCGGTCCCCTAGCGATGTCTAAGTGACTTTTCTCTTTGTAGTACTGCACAAAGTGACAATCTACTTAGTGAAATATTACAGTGCCTGTTATAAACTTCAACCTATGTTGTGAAGTCATTGAAAACATGCTTAAATATTAGCACTTTATACATGTTTGTATCTTTGAGAGTGTTCAGGGTATGGAGTTTTCAGTTCCGTGAAAAAAAGTGGTTGTATATAAATTTGCACATCCCATTTGTAAAGTGAAGACATTCCAGTACCGCTTAATTATAGCACCTTATTTCTAGCTGCTGACCTGCCAAAACAGTGTTGCCATTTTGAAGGGTAGAGAGAAGGAAAGTTGTATTTGTGTTGTATTTGTGCGTGTGGAGGGGTAGGGGGCGTGTGTGTATGTATGTATGTATGTATGTATGTGTGTAACTATACTTTGCTGCATAATATTGATAAATTATAACATTTTGTACACAAATAAAAATATTTAAGATATATTATAATTTTGTGTGTTTAAATGATTTCAGACATATGAGAGCTTGAAAATTTGCCAGGTAAGCAAAGTCCTTGTATTTGCTTTTGAAAACTTACCATGTAATTCTGCCTAAAAAGATCATCATTTGCTATGGAGATGAAACATTACATCAAGAAAGGGTCACCTTTTTGGTTTGCTTGTTTGTTCTCTTCTTTACTCTGGAGTACTTATTGGCAAGCACACAAAGAAACAACCAGTCAAATAGGCTGCTAAACGCTCTCCTGCTTTCTAGAAGCTTTCATCTTTAAGATATGCGTTACTCCTTTATGATAATGTCACATTAAAAAGTTACTAAGCTGTGGGAAAAATCAGGCCCTAAGCTATACTCTCCTTTTTCCTCTTTAAGTCAAATACAGGAGGAGAAAAAAGGAAAAAAGAAAAAAAATCACAATCTTCTTTCCTAAAAGCTCGTGAAAGGCTGCAGTAGGTTGACTTTCCTTAGGATCCACAGTTCCGAGGGTAACATGAATTGTTTCCCCCTTGCTTTATTGGACCGTATTCTACAGAAAAATCATTTAAGTGCACCTTTGCTGTCTCTCTATCTTAGAGCAGTATGCAGTTTTCTGATAATCCCATGTGACTTCAAAGAGCCTATCAGAGGTCAATGTTACTCAAGTTTGGAAACAGTTGCTTGCTCAGATTCAAATTCACAGGCAACTGATTTATTTAGGACAGTAACATATATGCAGCAGGCTTCAAAAACAGTGTTGGTGCTTTTCTATTTGTAGTTACATTACATTTACATTATGGTTATATTACAGTTCATCACTTTCATTTCAATTTGTACCGAAGGGCTGAAACAGATTAATCTTGTGTGCAAAGTGCCACATAAACAGTTTGGAGTAATGTGTTTCTAAACTTATGACTGGGCAATTTGCCTCACGCGTTTGCCTCCTGGAACAGCTGGGGCCACAAGGATCAAACAAACCACAGGGAGGCTGTGAATCAGTAATATTGCATTTATGTGAAAGCAGATTTTATGAAAAATAGTCAAAGTTCTCTGTTAATATGAAGATATTTCATTTTAAGTGCAATCTGATCAGAAAGCTATATTCCAGGCTCATTATTTTTATCTTTGTGTGTTATATATCAGTTGCTGCCTTTTGGCCAAAGGGCTGGAAGTCCAGCAAACAAACCGTAATAATCACAGAAGTGGCTTTGTAATTGATTAATAGATTCAGGCACTCAGTTCGTCAGAGTGCTGTTGCACTGATATTATAAATATGATATAAAACAGAACTTATGACAGGTCAAAATGCTTATCAGATTAAGCATTCCAAAGCAGCTCGTAAAAAAGATGATTTTTCCCCCCTCTTCTAAGTCCTCTGAAACAGTATGTCCCCAGAATTTCTAATCCCATAAACTGTGTTTAAACTACTAAATAAAACATGGCAGGGACGGCTTTCTCGCTCTTTGGCCAAGTGGCACAGAACGGCATCCAACCACGTACCTGAGCTCTTTGCTGCCCCGAAACAGGGAAACTGTGTCCAAACTGCTAACTGGAAGCAGCTGCTGGCATGTGCCATGCTCCCAGCAACGCCCAGACGCTCTCCAAGAGGTTTTCTGTTGGCATAAGCTAGAAAAGTGCCAGGGAGCACGCGAGCAGCTCAAGACAGCGCATGGTCATGGGCAAGGGCTTGAGCCTGCATCCTGGCCCTGCTGTAGTAACTGTGTAGATTCAGCCAAAGGTGCCGTATCACCAACATTAACCACTGAGAGAGATGGCCAGCAACCGCCTCGGACCAGTGACATCTGGTAAAACTCACTTACTAAACTGGAAAACTTGCCATCTTCTAGGCTCTAGCTTCACGATTCTTTGTTATTCCTACATGAACTTCAGAAAAACCAAAGAACAGGACTGCAATTGGTTTCCTTAGTGAGTGTTTCTGGGAGCAGTACTCCAAGGCAGGATATAGGTCTTCTAACCTGAGCACTGAATTTGCACCTAGATTTTAGCTGCTGAGTACAACCTAAACTCCTACGGTTCCTATATAGCCTCCTAAGGCCAGTATTTGCTCTAAAAGCCTCCAGGGAAGACTTCTTGTGCCAGCATTTACACACTGAAGTTAAGCAGACAGAATCTGCTAGAAACCATCAGTGATGCTCACTTCTCCCCGTTAATGTTATTAGCAACGTACTTTCTCCACGAAATGTTTGAGCAGCTACAATTTGTGCAAAAATCAGAAACGGAAAACTCAGATAGAATCCTACTTCTAAGTAGTAGTAATAAAGTAGTAGTAGTAATTTCTAAGTAGTAATAAACCACTTAATACAAGAGTGGAAAGGACTCGTTTAAATACTCACCTCACACACAAAATGTGTGATGTTTACATTTTTAGTCCAACATGTGTTTGCTTTATTTCTTTTCTTACCAGGGGACCACATTTTTATTTTAGCACTTCTGCCAGGAATTTACTATATCTACAGAATAAGAATGAATCTCTTTTGTTTAAAATTGCAACACGTTTAAAGTATTGTCATACGTGTTCTTTCACTCTTCTGGGCGGCACACTGGTGTTGCAGTGATGTTATAGTGCTGTTAGCTATTCATATTGTTGAGACAATGCAAATGCTTTTTTTCCCTCCATGCCATGTTTAGAAAGCTTTTGCTGACTCACCTCATAATTTCTGGGAAAGACTAATGCAAATAGGAGAGAGTATTTGGGGTTTTTTGGTTATCCCTGAAAGTGGAATTAATGTCAGTCTAGTCGCAGTGAAATACAGCCTTTCGTTTTCAAAGAGAGCTCTGCTCTGCAGGGATACCTGAGCAGAATAACATAAAGCAGGCTACATGCTCTCTATCTCCCCAAATAACATCTCGCTTCAGAAAAAGAGGAGCTGCAGTCCCTGGTTACATTCACAATTCCTGATAGAGGAAATCCAGGAATTTTGTACTGCATGATTAGAATAAAGAAATCAGACACACATACGTGTGAGAAGATGGTGCTGCCATTGCAGTATCTGGCCACACAAACATCTCATATTGTCAGACAAATGAGTTTTTTACCGTGGTTATGAGATAATTTTTGGAAGACAGAAAAAGAATTCTCGGAAGCCCTAGTAGCAGCCCACTGTGAAGTACATCACCACGATCCCCGTACAAGCCTCACTTGGCGTCCACTAGCGTGTCCACCGACTACTGTGTGTGATGCCACTGAGGACAAGCACATACTGTGTCTGATCTTGTATTGTCAAAAGGCAATGGGCAATTTTGTCTGCATAAAGGCTGCAGAGCTGTCAAAATTGCCGTTACTGCTAGTAAGCACAGATCTTTCCTTCTAAGTGTGGGCCCATGTGGTTACTATTTTTAAAGTTCTCATGGCAATTGTGCAGTCTTCTGGGGATGAAAACACCCTCCGAGGTAGGTGCAAGGATTGGACCCGGTGCTCAGTAATATTTATTATATGCAGCCTTAACTGAAAATGGAAATGAGATTTCCAGCTTTGACACCTTGAAAAATTCTGCTTTTGTTTTATTCCGAAGCAGATAACGTAATGTCAACGTAGGCCTACAGAGTCTGCTCCCACTAAAATCAGTGGGGTTTGCTTTTGCATATGAGCTAAGATAATGACAGTACCTTACAATTTTGAGGCAGGAAGCCCTCAGCATCAGCTCCAATTTTCATTAGCAACCAATGGTTTATTACAAACAATGAAAAACCTTGTGAGACTTTTAGTGTCTCCCCAGGCCAGAGTCTGGCCATTTTATTTGTGTGAAGTGCCTCTCTCTGTGATTCTCTCCATCATTTTGGTGGGGGTAATTACGGAAAGAAGAGCACAGCGCTAGCCAGTGAGAACTGCTCGGGACCTGGTCCTAAAGCACCACACAAAGCTTGATTTTCTGTAGTATTTCTGCTGAAATCAATGGTGTAACGCCACTGTAAGTGAAATGAGAATGTATGAATCATTGTATATTAAAAAGCCAGCTGGATTCAAAATCGCAGGTCAAACAAAAAGTCTTTATTTAGCTAACCAAACAAAAAGACAAAACCACTTTTAAACCTGAAAAGTGAGTATGTACATATTTTTATCAAACTAATGATCCGCAGGTACTAAGTAGCACACAGCAAAGCAACAGGAGCTGTAATCTCCCTTCTGCCTTTCTAACTCTAAAAGGACAGGGTTTTTTTTTAATGAGCTAAAAATAATTTCTGATAGCGCAGCTGCCCCTCAGCTCTTCCACTATCTTTTGCGGTATTCATTTCAAAAGAAGAAAAAACAGACAAGGATAAAAAAAACCCAGGTTTTCTCCTCTTGCTGCTTCACAAAGGAGCCATGCAAATCGTGGGGGCGCGAGGGGCCGACAGGGCACGGCGCAGCTCGCTACGGAGGCTCTAGCCGTCTCCCGCCCAGCCTGGTCCCTGCTGCTCTCGAGGTGCTCTGTGCCGCGAGGGGTCTCCCCACTACCCCTTCCTCCTCATGGGGAAGACACCTGGGTAAGCTTCTCCCGCAGACCTGGCTGTTTGGGCATGCTAGCTCAAAAGGTTTTGACCCACGAGGGTCGATGGATTAAGTGGGATGGTTGCTTAAGGCCTTTCGCCTGCCCCAAAGCTTGCTGCTCCTGTGGCAGGGGCAGCTTGAAGCTCATAAATCAGCTGCTGAATGCCTGCATTTTACTTGGTAGCGCCACAAGACGAAAAAACGCCCCTGGGTGAAAACATGACTTGGACTTCATTGTCCTCTTGATGTTTATAAACGCTTTCCTCCGAATACACAAAGCGCTTCCCGAATGATCCCAGGGAAAAGGTCCCCTCGTGGGCAGTTTCGTTTGTTGAGGGCCGTAACTCGGCATCACATAAATCCGGCTGCTTCTGAGGGGCAGCAAGAGCTGCAAGCCCTGATTCAGCAGTGACATTAGAGACAACAACTGACTGAGACGAGGCAGGTCTGCCTGGCTAGTGTCAAAGGCTCTCTGCAAAAAAATGAAGAG